TTGCTCAGATTTGGCAGTATCCTGCTTTTTTGATGTGACATCTTATTTGTCTGTGTGTAACATATTTAGGTGTTTTCACATGATTGCATCATTTGTTTCCCTCTGTTACAGTTGTTTAGGGTGAGCTTAAACTCAATAACACCATCTGGACGATTTCCACAGCTTAGTGTCAGTGCGACAGTCCAATTATTTAATGCAAGTCTATTACTTCACATTTTTTCACAGGGTTAGCATATAATTTATATTTATGTTTCTAGGTGGTTGCTAGTGTGTTATGGGCAGATCCTTTAATGAAAATCAATGGGATTTTTCTTTTATTTGATCATCTATCAGGCAAAAGTACAATTTCAGATTGAGTTCTGTACCAAAAGTGTATTGCTTGAGGTTAGAGGGATTGTTCAAATCTCTTAACACAAGTATATGTGATGATGAGTAATAATAATGAATGCCTTAGCAAACAGCACTAATAAAATGTCTTGTTAAGCACACAGGTAGCTTCAAGTGGCAAACGAGTGGATTATGAGAGAGTGATATTAATAGCTCATTGCTTTATTTGGCAACTGCGGTAAAGAGGAGGTTAGTTAAATTGAAACAAAATATCTTCCTGCCACTTCTTGCAGATGACTTGTGGCATTTTTTATTGCACAGTTCATTTCACAATCTTTCCACTTTTTACTTTTTTTATTTTACTATCTTAGTTTTGTTTTTTATTATTGTTTTGTTAAGTTTTTTTGCTTGTTTCTCCGTTTGTTTTGTGGTTTATTTGTTTTTTATTTTTGTTTTTCTTTTTTTGTTTTTTGAAAAAGTTGAAGATCTCTGACCTACGACACAAGTAAAATGGTTCCATTCTGCCCTGAAAAATTAGTTCTTTAATTCCTTCTACCTTGTATTTTGAAAAATAACCATTAAAACAAGATTTTTAAGACATAAGAACCATTAAGACAAATTTGGACATATTTAAAATGGCAAGCTACTACAACATTTTCCTGTCTTTAAATGATTCATGCTATTCCTATGTTTGGGGAGTATAAAATTAGGTAGTCAGAGCAGCAGGTGAAGACTGTTTTTAAAGGGAAGTGTGTTATATCCTCACTGTATGGGCTTCTGTGGATTGTGCAGTTGTTGGTGCCCCTTTTGCCGTCTGCTGCTCTAGCCAGCACCCTTCAACCCATAGTGCTCATCTCCCACCAATGCCTGCGTACCAATACAGGAAGATTGTTTTATTCTCGGCAGCTCAGACAGGAAGTGACTTCATGTTGTGGAACTCACTGCAGCTTTCAAGCCAGAGCTACTTTGATTTGAACAGATTGGCAGTCAGTGTTGGTTGACGTATTAATGAGGTCAAGGCGCTCAGTGTCAAAGCATATCTAGTTCACAAGCACACAGCATGCACTGCACTTGTGAAAATAATGTGGAAGGATTGAACCGGTAATAGTATCAAAACAAACTTGCACAGCCTTTAAAGTCAACAAAACAGAGCCTATTTACTTTCTTAATGACCGTTCCTGATCGTATTGTGCACGAATGAATGGCACCGATGAATAAAATCCAAACATTTGGTTTCTGATTCCAGGTGCAGTTTAAATCCCATGAGAAATCGTCCCTAACTGCCTGCTAATTTGTTCCCATGAGGGTGTTATGTGAGGATGGCAGACTCTAGGGGTGCTCCGATTGATCGGCTACAGTTCAATATCGGCCGATAATCGATTTGGGATGATTGATCGGCGGTCTCTAAAAAGGCCGATCTCAAAAAAACGATCTCAAGCTGAAGACGCGCCTGCCGTCAGAGGTTTGGCACGACATGCAGCGGCACCGTCTCAGTCTCTGTCCAGCGCGGGTGAAATAATTATAATGTTGAAGGTTAGGTACTCACCTTCATATGTCTTAATTAAATAACTTATAAAATAATTAGAAAACCTTGTGTGAGACGTAATTTCACAAACAGCGTGAGTGAATCACCACTCGCGCGCTCTCTCTCAAAATACGCAAATGTCTTCAAATCACCACACATCGCATCTGTCTATAAGCCAGCTGCACAGTTGACACAGGAATTGTCGCTTGCACAATCGAGGAAGTGTCACATCGTCACTAAAGTTTACAAATTGCATTACTTTTTAATTCCTGCCAGTGTTTAACCATTCAGCGCTTGCGTGCTCTCCTAAAGACCGTGCCCTCATGCACACTCGCAGCGCACACACATAATGCCAGGTTCACATTACTCCGTTTGCAGTGCGAATGTGGTGCGTATTTTTTCCGCGCTCATGTTAACAGATTAATAAAGCGTGCACACGGTTGCGTTCAGGAGCGGTGCGTCTGCAGCAGAGCAGAGAATGTTTCCACACAGAGTCTATTTTTGCTGCGCTGCAAGCCTGAATTAAAGTAACAAGGCATTTTTTGCAGTAAATATGAACATGGATTGACACGAAAATTTAGTAATTACACCATAAATGCATATTATTAAAGTCTACTGTGTTTCACAGTCAACACATATGGCTTTTTGGCTAGGTTTAAAGGGAAAGAGCACTTTTAGATAAACAAGGCAATAATAGATGGCACTTGTGCAGGTAGTAAAACAAAGTTCTTTATGAACCGCAGGATTGCTTGTAAAATATTTCAATGCAAAAGGTAAGGCAGTAGAGCTGACTATTTCTGTCAATGGTAAGTTTGTGATAACGTAAGAAAAGTTTAAATGTGTTGCCACTTGCTTGAGCAACTTAATATATAAGTAAATGCAAAAGTAAAAAGCATTGAATAATGTGTTGCTTATATTTATTGTGTTTAAACATGTCTGTGAAAGATTGTATTACTGCACTGTGTAAAAAAAGAACTGCAATGCTGAAAAAGCATTTTCAGTGACAATGTTTGGATTTGAAATCAAAATAATGGATAAATGTTGTATTTGTGGTAAACAGCCACGGATCAGTAGCGGACTCCTGTGTGAAAGCTGCTTCTCTCACAAGAGACACCTAAGAGGGGAATTCCCCCCCATTTTCAAAAATTCAGGCCCTGAATAAATGTCTAAAAATCCTGATTGAAGTATCACTATAAATAGTTATAAATGATAAAAAGAAGGCTTTAAAAAGATCGGTATCGGTGATAAGTATCTTATATATTCTGTGATCGGCGATTGGCCACAAAAATCCTTATCGGAGCACCCCTAGCAGACTTACATGTGTCATTTGTTTTAGTTTAAGTTCAAGTTCAGTTCAGAAGTTTCTTCTCCCTACAAAACTCGTCATAGTGGAAAGAGAGCGATAATATCTTTGAGATGCACATTGCTCATCACCACGAAAGTGAAAAGTGTTTTTTTTTTTTACTTCTCATTTCTGATTTCTGGTGTTCTCAATTCTCAAGGTGTGGTGTGAGCTTAATTTTTTCCGTAGTAATATATTCTTATTTGTGGAACAGCACAGCTTTATTTTAGGGCTGCACGATAAATCGTTCATATATGATCGTAGTTTTGCGCAGCTTGTCAGTGAACAACGGCTCTGTGTAGTAAATGCTGCTTCATGTGAAACCACACATGTGATCGAGATTTACCGCTGAATACAGAACAAGCTTTACTGACAAGATGCGCATTAAATATCGCATGCGATTTATCGTGCAGCCCTACTTTATTTAACCTCATGTTAACATGAAGAGACCAAGTCTCACAGAGCCAGATCTTTGAGTAAACAGCACTAGCTCTAATCTGGTGGCCACTTAGACCAGAAGAATCGGACTGGCATGTAAACATCTGATTGAACGGCATATTTATCTGAAATCTACCACAATAATAGACCAGCATGAATAAGAAAAAAATGTGTATTACTGCATTCATTTTATTTAGTTTATTTAATTTCACATATTTAAGAATTAATAATGGCAACAGTCTCCAAAATATGGATGTACAAAAAACCCTGAAAGTGGGTGGGTGTGTGTGTGTATATATATATATATATATAGCAGGGTTGGGGAATGTTACTTTTAAAAGTAATGCATTACAATAAAAAGTAACTAATTACATTACCTTTGCGTTACTTTTTCTCATCTGCCTTGGCCTCAGTTTTCTCCCTTCAGAAACAAACAAAAAAAAGAATCACAAATGTTATGTTTATCTAAAGTCATTTTTGCTCATTAATATGGTTGATCATCAAAAGTCAGCAGCAAAGATTTAATAAAATGGAATTAAATAGGCCTACTTAAAGGATATTTGTGTTATTTAACATGTTTGCGTAATGTCCTGATTTTGCATTTTGGCTCTTTTTATTCATTTTGAGGAATACTGAATCTGATTTTGTGCGAGTGAGATGAGTAAATACATGTTGACATTTAGTCTAGAACTACAGTAACATCATGTTCACACAGCGCACACAACGCCTCTGCACTTACTCCTGATTTCTCTCAACATGCGGACAGGAGAGCTGTCAGTCAAGACATGAGAAACAAAGTAACTGGCGTTAAAAAGTAACTCAGATATTTTCTTGTAAATTAAAAACTAATGCATTACTTTACTAGTTACTTGAAAAAAGTAATCGGATTATGTAACTCTTGTTATTTGTAATGTCTTACCCCAACACTGTTCATCAGTATATTTAGCTTTAGTCTAGGCTAATGGTAGAGGCTTTTCCAAGTGTACAGTGTTTGTTTTAAGGCGGGCTTGATGCCCTCTGCTCACACTGAATATTTAACAGGCTTTTTGCAAGCCTGCTTTGCTGCTCAGCCCTTCTTCCTGTCTGAGGCATCGGAAAATCTACAGCCGCCACTTCCCCTTTGAAAGTGTGTGTGCTTGAACTGTATTTGCTGGTAAACAGTGTTTGCTGACATGCTTGGTACATCTAATTTTGAGTCATTGTTTAAATTTGAGTTAATTTTCTGTATCTGTCTGTTTTGTAAACGCTTTTCAGGATTTAGCATTGAAGTGTTTTTAATGTTTTTTGAGTGTTTGATTAAATAGTATTGCAATTTTAATTTAAAGTGCTTTCGATAATGAATAAATGTATATTTTTTTCTTTGGCCAGTTCTGGCTGCAGCTGTACGCCTCAGGCTCAGCTCTGATGTTACCGGCTGAAACGGGTCGACTGTGAGAGGACGATTTCCCTCAGCTATGTCTACCTTTGAGGTAACACAAACCTTGAAATGTTAGGATTAGGATATAATGTGAATTATGACTTTATTTCATTTATACAGCATCCTGTGTTTGTACATCAAGGGCTTTTCCTTATATTCCCATTCCCCTCTCTAGACAATCTGGCCTCCGGGCACCGAGTGTGTGGCCAGGTACAACTTCCCTGGAACGGCTGACCAGGACTTGCCTATGTGCAAAGGGGATGTCCTTACTATAATTGGAGTAACTAAGGTACATTTCTGAAATGTTAGAATGACATGTATTTAGATAGTCAGATAGTCATTTAGATAGTTTAGATACTCTCTCTCAGCCACAAAATTATCCTTTTAATTTTAAAATGTAAAAACATTTGTGCTGTCAAACAATTAATCGCATACAAAATACAAATTTTTGTTTGCATAATATATATGGGTGTTCTGTGTATATTTATTATGTGTATATATAAATACACACACATAGAGTATATATTTTGAATAGAGCCCGACCAATATATATCGTTTAGTTGATATTATCGGCCGATGTGAGCCTGTCACCGATATATCGGTATGATTTTTTTTTTTACAGAACATATGCAGATGAAATGCTTCTGAATGGTGTAATTACTTAGTTTTCCAGCAGAGCATGCTCCATTGTTTGCTACTGGACCCAGGTCAGTGTAGTGTAGAGATGCGTGGATGAGCTCAAACTTCACCCGAGTCCTCTGCTTCAAATTATCCGCCCGCCACCCACCCACACCTATATTTGATCGTCACATTACAATGATTCTAATTCTTTGTTTTGCATGATGATATGATGAATGGATGGTTCATTTTAACAGCAGATTCAGTGACGTTAGAGACTAGAGCTGATCTGCGCTTCACGGCACGCGGCGCATTAAAGCCTGTGTTACGGCCACCGGAGCTGATCGCGGCCACTCAATGCTGGTGTATACAGACCGCGCCGCGGCCCAGAACTCATGCTTATCACATCGGTCACATCGCGCGGTGCGACAAAATACAATAGAATTCTATTGTATTTTGTCGCACCGCGCGATGTGACCGATGTGATAAGCATGAGTTCTGGGCCGCGGCGCGGTCTGTATACACCAGATGCCCTCGTCTTTTACTCTCACAATGAGCTTATCATATTCGTTTGTTACATTAGTAGGGCCCTATGATTTCCGCGATGCAGAAAGCATGTATGGAATCGCGGAATCCAGTCATAAAAAGGGTATTTACTGTATAACACGGAATTTCATGGAATTTGTCTTATTTTTGATGAATAAATGAAAAACAGGTCAGTACATATACCGTATTGACCCGAATAGTACATAGTTTATTAGCATGCTTTTTTTTAATATAAGATAGTTTTGTCTTCACTGATCTTCACTTAAATTATGATAAGAGTGAGTGTTTGTGTGAGTTTCATACATGCAAACAATAGCATGCTATATTTAGTATGTATCACTGATATCATCACAGATCACCTACTACAGTATATATCTGTAATAATACACAAATGTCTTCCTGCTTTCCGGTCCACCACAACAAACCAAGGACTCATTTGAATCGGCCAGCTGTTTAAAATAGAAAGGAGAAATCAGAGTGTTACACAAATGGCAGCACTCAGGCCAGTGGAAAATGTCCATCTTTCACCATCTGATATGCAAAGGCCAGAGACATGCATCGCAATTAGGGTTCGGTTGTAAGAGAGCATGTGATATTCTTCAATTACTTGCTGCTTTTAGAAGGAACAATGGATATAATGACGCTGATGTATGGGATCTGGATGTCTGCTTTTAGCCATATGTAATGAAATGTTTAGTTTTAGATGTGTTTGTCTTTAGCATATTATAACGGTAGAGGTCGTTTTTTTGCTGTCTAGTCTTTGGTAAGTGCACAGCTTTGGTTTATTTTCGATAGTGTGTATGAATATGTGTGGGTAATTGGGAGATACAGATTGGATGTTTGTCATGCCAGGGAAGCCGCAGAAGGGCCAGGCAAAGCCAGCGCTCCTTTTGGAAGCCTGTAATTTAGCTTCCGTTTCTCAGTCTTGTGCACAATATTATGTAGCTGAATCGGTGTTTCTTTCTAAATTTTCCCGATAGTTGGTCCTAAGTACAAATGAAACAAAATTATTCTATTCTTTGTGACACATTTTAGTGTTTTTTAAGTCAAATTACAGCAACACTGTTTGTGGTTATTCAAAGTGTTAACACAAGTTCATGAGTTTTTTTGACTGATTCATTAAAAGAACCAGCTCATGAGAGACATTCTGAATCGGACTGCATTTATTAATTTTATCTGAAGCATCTTTCAAATGAGGAACATCACAAGCAATTTGTCATGATTTCAAATTAAGAATAATATAATTATTATTATTTGACAGTACAGTTTTCTCTTATCATTCAGACTGCATACTAAAAACAATACAGTATTTGTGACATATTGGGTTTTTCTTCCTAAAATGGTATTTACTTCAACAAAACTCTTGTTTTGAATATTCAGAGTATCTGTAACTGCTTCATTAAATAATTTTAAAGCATTTGACTGTTTCAAATTGATAACCTGTGATTTAATGAGTCTTTTTGACTCGATTCATTAAAAGAACTGTCTCTTAACAGTCATTTGCGAATCAGAATACAGTGATTTGATTAATACGGTAAATTCACAACTGAGGTAAAATCGATTTTTGTGTTAAAACAATACTATTTTTGGGGCACATTTGATTTAAAAACATTTTTTAAATACCATTACAGCAACAGTTTTTTGTTGTTGTTTTTTGCAATAAGTGTTAACTCACAAATTCACGAGTCTTTTTCATCAGTTCATTTATAGAAATGGCTCATAAGAGTAATTAATTTGTGAATTAGACTACATTTATTCATTTAGCATTTATCCAAACAGAATTTCAAATGAGGAACATCACAGGCAATTAGACAATTTTAAATGTAAAAATACATTCTTTTAGCCCTGGGCGATAAAACAGCATCATGTATTTATGCATTGCTTAATCCAAAGAGCCGAAGCACCATTCACACAGATTGCATTTAAAAACATATGAGACGCAGTGAAAAGGAATAAACCTCCACAAATTCGTGACATGTTTTAACTTTGCATGGCTACATCTCTTGTGTGAGACACGAGTGCAGCAGTTATCTGTGTCCATCTAAAAAAATGCGCTGAATATGCGTTCTGTGTGAATGGTGCTTCGGCTCTTTGGATTAAGCAATGCATAAATACATGATGCTGTTTTGTTCATAATAGTTTATGCAATTTACGAAATTATATTGGATTTTTATGAGTTAATTTAGACGTAATGTACGTTTTTTTATAGAGTTACTTCCTTGCGTTGACAATTTAAATGTGCTGCATTATTTTGCTCATTGCGCCCTCCTGTGGCCTCGGGAGACAAGACAAAAGTTTCCTGAAGACCTATTTAATCTGCATTTAAAACATTAGAAATGAGATTTGCTTAATTTTAATTTTGTGTTTGATTGTTAAAACAAAAAATATTTGTTGTTTGTCTCAATAAATAGGGTTCATTTAAAAATACAGTGGTTAAATTAAAAAAAAAAATTCTATAGCTCTTATACATGATGCTGTTTTGTTCATAATAGTTTATGCAATTTACGAAATTATATTGGATTTTTATGAGTTAATTTAGACGTAATGTACGTTTTTTTATAGAGTTACTTCCTTGCGTTGACAATTTAAATGTGCTGCATTATTTTGCTCATTGCGCCCTCCTGTGGCCTCGGGAGACAAGACAAAAGTTTCCTGAAGACCTATTTAATCTGCATTTAAAACATTAGAAATGAGATTTGCTTAATTTTAATTTTGTGTTTGATTGTTAAAACAAAAAATATTTGTTGTTTGTCTCAATAAATAGGGTTCATTTAAAAATACAGTGGTTAAATTAAAAAAAAAAATTCTATAGCTCTTTGTTTAAAAAAAGGTTATAAAAAATGTCAATAATTATCAATACCGAATGATATGAAACATTATATCGTTGATACATTTTTTAGCTATATCGCCCAGCCCTAGTTTCTTTTATCATTCAGTTCATAATGAATTTATATATATATATATATATACAGTGGGGGAAAAAAGTATTTCTCTTAGTTGAGGTATACCTATGATGAAAATTACAGGCCTCTCTCATCTTTTTAAGTGGGAGAACTTGCACAATTGGTGGCTGACTAAATACTTTTTTGCCCCACTGTATATGCAGTATGATTTTTGTAATTTATTGAGATTTCTACATAAAATACCATTTATTACAGCAGAGTTCTTTTCTGAATTTGTGTTTTTAAACGGAGTATCTATGTCAGATTCATGATTCAAAGCGCAACACAGATTAAAAATGATACCTTGTGGGTTCATGAATCTTTTTGACCTATTCATTAAAAGAACTGGCTAATAGGCTAATGTTAACTCCACGTTAACATTTATTTATATAGCAAACACTCTTATCCAAACATCACAAGCAGTTTGTTATAATTTAAAAAAAAAAGTATCTCTGGGCCTCTTCATTGAATAATGAATCAAAGGCGACAGACTGATTCAAAACAGTAACTTCTGGGTTCATTAAATGAACTAGCTTATGAGAGTCATTTGTTAGTGAGTGTGGAATTGTGTAATGCTTACAGATACTATTTATGCACTTTATAAACTTCATCAACTGACTGAAAACTCCTCTTCATCAGACCATAGCAACACTAAGTATGCTTTAATATGACTTGTAAAAGATGAACAGAGCAAACACATGTCCTTTATCTGTGGTCACTCAGATGGTTCCATGGAAAGATCACACGCGATCAGGCCGAGAGGCTGCTTTACCCCCCAGAGACAGGCCTCTTCCTGGTGCGTGAGAGCACAAACTTCCCCGGCGACTACACCCTGTGTGTTAGCTGCGACAGCAAGGTGGAGCATTACCGCATCATCTACCACAACGGCAAACTGTCCATTGATGAGGAGGAGTACTTTGAAAACCTCATGCAGCTCATGGAGGTGAGGGTTGTTGGCTTTTGACCTGGTTTAAGTTTAAGTTGTTGTTTTCATAGCTAACAGGTCTATTTATGGTCTTATGGATGATTGTTAAAATACAGTATTTAGTCAGCACAAGCACAATCCAAAGTTAGCCCAGCGGGTTGTGAAACCAACAGGCTTCTTCCTGTGAGTCCTCTCACCGCCTCCGTCAACATTTTCAAATTGATCGCCACACACAGATACAAAAATAGCCCTAACAGGAAGTCAGTCCACATCAGACGTACTGGCTACAGACATGGGGCAAGCATTTACGATGGACTCCAGGAAACAATTTTATACACGCACACCTTGTGCTTTGAGGTCAAAGGTTCAGTCCAGGCTTGCTGGAGGAAATTACATTGCTAAACAAGAGCTGTGAAATTAAGCTGATGTTTTAATGGAAAGTGTGTTTTGTGGGTGGTGTTCGGGAATGAAGGTTTTTTCTAGTCGAATGTCACTAACTCACAGAACATCCCTTACATAAAAGTTTACCAAAGCAATATTATGGCACAGTGATGCATCAGATGTAATACAATGATACTTTGGGATATTAAGCATACCAGGGAAATACATTGATTGATTACTATTCATTTACCATTGTATTTAATTCAATTCAGTTCAAGTTTATTTGTATAGCGCTTATATATATATATATATATATATAGTTTTAAAGAAAAAATATAAATCTATACACACACACACACACACACACACACACATATATATATATATATATATATATCAGTATGTATGTATATATATTACTAAATAGCAGCATTACTAATGCTTCATTTTGCTTTGTAAGCCATATTTTGTTTTTATTTGTAAGGTTATCAAAAGTTAGTATTTAGTATAATATACTAATAAGAATAATAACAATATGTCATTTTTAGGTATACTAAAAACAACTCTATATAGTAATTTTTAGCATATATAAAAATGTATTTTAATTTTCTGTAGTAATATATATTTAATAATTACTATATATAGGTAGTATTATAATTATATATTATACCAATTTTAGTTTTTGGTATAGTGCTTTTTATACATTGATCCAAACAGCAAGCGTTTAAAATTTTATTTTAACCGCACTATATTTTAGTACTTTTTAATTTGCTTTAGTATAATAACATAAAAGTTGATTTAATTTTGTAAGCAATTATTTGTGCAATTTTGCTGTCTTCACATCTCACACCGTATCAATGGGGTTTTTATACTTCAGAATATATACAGTAACTGTCTTTTGTATTTTAGGAAGCGGACCATCATAAGATGATCGTCATATTTAGGGGTCCTTGACATGAGAACGTTTGAAAACCCCTTCATAACATAATAAAGAGATATTCAAATTTCCTTAGGCAAGCAAACACCACTTACATTTTCATGTGCAAATCCACTTTGGCAGCCAACGTACAAGCTTTTTATTGGGTGCCAGAGTGTTGCTATGTGGTTGCTAAGGTGTTCTGAGTGGTTTTAGCGTGTTGCTGTGCAGATCATTGGGTGTTCTGGGTGGTTGCTTAGTGGCACATATCTGAAGAGTCCATCCTTCATACTCTGGGCATTGCACACCTCATCATTCCAGGTGACATTCAAGTCTGTAGCACAAGGCATGATGAATGCACCGCTAATGGAAAGGGAGGGTTAAAAAGAACCGATTTACATAGATGTAGGATATAAATGACTAATTTGTATAATTTTACATATCTTTTTTTTTTATTCCACTGACCATTGGCCTCATTAGGTCTGTGTGATTAACTAGTGATCTGTCCTCGGTTAAGTGTTGATGGTTCTGCTCTGGTTATTTTTGATTGAGGTCTGGGTGACTTTAGGTCAGAGGCACTATGGGTTCCTCAAGTCTCTCCTCACCCTTTCTATTATGGAATTCCACACATTCTTTAGTGTAATTTTGGCTACAGTCGCCCTCTCTCTGTCTTTCTCCCACCCTTATAGCCTCAGCTGAACAGTTGTGCTCTTTCCAAAGAAGTGGACGGGTCTTAAACTGTGTACAATAAGCCTTTATGTTCATAGTGATTAAACTACCGCAGATGATATTCTTCCCACAATCCACTCTATAAAATTAATCAGAAAACCAGTGGGGAGAGATATTCCAAATAAAAGCCGCAAATTGATACTGTTGTCTGTAATGGCTCATTATGGCAAGTTAAATTTAACCTTTTTTTTATTATTAAATTACTTTTATTCAGCACGGACACACTGAATTTATCAAAAGTGACAGTAAAGATATTTATAGTTACAAAGTTATTTCAAGTAAAATTCTATCTATTCATCAGAAAATCCTGGGGGAAAAAAACATGCATCAATGTTTCCACAGAAATATTAAGAACAACAACGGTTTTCAACATTGACAATATTTTAAAAAATGTTTCTTGAGCAGTAAATCAGCATACTAGAACTATTTCTAAAGGATCATGTGACGCTGAAGACTTGAGTAATGATGCAGACATTTTCTTTTATTATTAAATTACTTTTATTCAGCACGGACACACTGAATTGATCAAAAGTGACAGTAAAGATATTTATAGTTACAAAGTTATTTCAAGTAAAATTCTATCTATTCATCAGAAAATCCTGGGGGAAAAAAACATGCATCAATGTTTCCACAGAAATATTAAGAACAACAACGGTTTTCAACATTGACAATATTTAAAAAAATGTTTCTTGAGCAGTAAATCAGCATACTAGAACTATTTCTAAAGGATCATGTGACGCTGAAGACTTGAGTAATGATGCAGACATTTTCAAATTTCACAATATTCGTTTTATTTTTGGTCGAATAAATGCAGCCTTGCTGAGCATACAAGACATACAGTATTTCATTAGAAACATTAGAAAAATCTTACCGACCCCAAACTTTGGATCATGACATTATTGTGTACTAAAAAAAAGATTTTAAAAATGTTTTTCAATATTAATTTGAATTCATGAGGGTTAGTAACTTTAGAGACTAAAGTAATATTTGGTCAGGGAAATTGTCAATGCGTCCAAGAATTAGCCTACTGCAGCGTTTGTTGGAGTGTAGTCATGCAAATGTGTTGTTATTTTGAGCGCGCGTACACACGTAAGCTCCACAGTTCCTGGAACAGTTGATAAGGAGGAAGTGACAAAGAGGAAACGAGCGCAGGTTCCAGATCATTTCAACAGCCCAATCGATGCCGTTTCATTCATATAACAATATTATCTCCTCGTCTGGCCTCGCGGTTATAGCGTCCAGACATATAGAATCACAAACACGTATTTCAGCACTGAAATGATAAGAATGTAGTCGCCTGTGTGGACGTGTTCATCTGAGGAGAGGAAACGCAACGCAACGCAAGCGGCGGAATCAAGAGAACATGCGTATACAACAGCGACCTCTGCTGGCCATCACCGTTTACTGCTTTGGATGTGCCCATTCTTAAAACGTTTTAAACACACATTATTTTTCAGGAGTTATTTTCCATTTAAATAGCACGTTCAAGCTTCATTTTACTTTTTACAGTTATATATAAAGTGCATTTATTTGCATCTTGATTTGCATAATTTAGTCAAATGTCATTTGTTTGAATTTAATGTAGCATGGTATTAACAGTTTACCATTATACTTCCATAGTACTTCTTTTGTAAATTATCTTAACTTTTTGTGTGTGTGTGTGTGTGTGTGTGTGTGTGTGTGTTTAACATTTTAACAGCACTACACTAAAGATGCAGATGGACTTTGTACCAGACTTATCAAACCTAAACTCATGGAGGGGTCTGTGGCGGCCCAGGATGAGTTCTCGAGGAGTAAGATACTTACTGACTATACTCGCATTTGAATTTGTTGATCTATAGTGAATTAAGTTTCTGCATGGCTTCAAGGTTTGTTTAATGAAAGATATTTTAATAGGATCATTAATCTTCCTTGTCCATAGGTGGCTGGGCTCTGAATAGAAAAGAACTGAAGCTTATCCAAACTATTGGAAAGGGAGAGTTTGGAGGTACAGATAATTTTTTCTGTTAAGAAACATCACCTAGATCAGGGGTGGCGAATATCAGTCCTGGAGAGCCGCAGCCCTGCAGAGTTTTGCTTGAACCCTGATCAAACACACCTGAACAAGCTAATCAAGGTCTGAAGGGTTTTTAGGAAGCTGCAGGCAGGTGAGTTTTAATTAGGGTTGGAGCTGAACTCTGCAGGACTGCGGCTCTCCAGGACTGGAGTTCGCCACCCCTGATCTAGATGATTGAATCTAAATTAATTTGGTTCAGGACCCAGATTTTACATTGTTTAGCTTATAAAAATGAACACAAATATATTAATAGCATCATGAACTACACAGGCAGCCAATAATTCATCTATGCTCAAAAATATGCTCTTTTTGGTTCTTAGATGTGATGGTCGGAGACTACCTAGGCAAGAAAGTGGCAGTGAAGTGTATCAAACATGACGCAACAGCACAGGCCTTCGTTGCAGAGGCTTCTGTCATGACGTACGTCCTCCCCGATTGACCGATCACAATCAAATATTCCAGAGAATAAAAAATAATAAGGCTTTTAGTATTTTCATATTCAAATATCAATATTCACGTTGACTGTTACAGGCAATTACGGCATACTAACTTGGTACAGCTGCTGGGGGTGATCGTGGAAGAGAAGGGCAGCCTCTTCATTGTCACTGAGTATATGGCCAAGGTCAGTGACCGAAGCCTGTTTTCACAGAGAATTATGTATATATGGATGTATACGTTTAATCATGTCTTTAAGGCATATAAAGCATTATTTTAATGTCTGTTTTCAGGGTAGTCTAGTGGACTATCTGCGCTCCAGAGGACGTACTGTTATTGGTGGAGATTGTTTGATCAATTTCTCAATGTGAGTTTCTTTTATCACATCTTTTATATTTTTGAAAACCTTGGCACCCATCCTGCTTTGTCTTATTAGTAGTTATAATATTAATAAAGCCATAAAAACGAAAAGAAAAGAAAAGGCTATGTTCATGTTTTCTTTTCTTTTTTTCAGGGATGTCTGCAAGGCGATGGAATATCTTGAGGCCAATAACTTTGTGCATAGGGATCTGGCAGCTCGTAATGTTTTGGTGTCAGAAGACAACAAAGCAAAAGTCAGCGACTTTGGCCTCACCAAGGAAGCATCATCTACTCAAGATACAGCCAAACTCCCTGTTAAGTGGACTTCACCCGAGGCCTTAAGGGAGAAGGTGTGCTGTCCGCTTTTGTTTTAATATGTTCAAACAGAGACATTTTAAAAACATCCTCTCATCTTTATGTTATGTCTACCTGTCTGTCTGGAACAGATGTTTTCCACTAAGTCAGATGTATGGAGCTATGGCATCTTACTGTGGGAGATCTATTCCTTTGGTCGGGTACCTTATCCAAGAATTGTAAGTCACTTCAAATCTGACAATTATTATTATTTTTTAAATCATGTTAATAAATAAAATTATTATTTTTAAAATCTGGTTTAAATTCAAATAAATAGGCTATTATAATCAATAAATGTTTAATCCAAATTATATACACCTCAAAGCAGAAGCATGACAATAAAAAGTACATTTGTAATTATTATTTTAAATAATAATAATAATCTAATTTCAATTAAATGAACTAAAATAGGATATTAATACACAAGTCATTTCAAAGCAAAAACATTACCAATAAAAATACATTTTTATATCATTTATAATTACATTTGATTTATTTGCTATTATTATTGCTATTACGGTTTTACTATGAATTATCTCATTTTAATTAAAATAATCTAAAATAAGTATACTCTATAAAATGCTGGGTTGTTTCAACCAGGGCTGGGGAATAAAGGAGTAACTGTAATCCGTTACAGTTACATCAAAAAACTAAGTATTCAGATTACAGTTACATTTTGCAAAAAGTGGGAATACTATCAGGATTACATTTGTTTCATTTAAAATTAAATAAATAAGTGTTTTGACATAACGCTATATATTTAGCGCTGCATATTTCCTAGTTCTGTTGACACGTTGACTCACGTGAGCAGCCTGCTGGTGCGTGCGCAACACCCGTCTACAATTATTCTCCTCAAACGCGAGATGACTGAGACGCTGCTACAGTAAATTAATTGCGATGCTTCCTGCTATGAAAATGCATGAAGACTCTTGCTTTAACAAAGGCTACTCAACCAACTTGAACGTGTGCAGGTACGAGTCCGACTAGCACGGAAATCATCATGTTAGCTCAAATTTGGTGTTTGTTAGTGATTTAAAATTCCATGGTGTGCATGACTGCAGCTGTAAGTTTTCTAGCAGAAAATGTAGAAATTAACATGAGAGTCCCCCCACCCCGGATCAGTCAATGAAATAAAGAAAGATCATAGCATTTCGACGTATTTTAAAATAGACTAATATGTATATGGTGTACATTTTTTAATGTTGTGTATAAACTATATTTATTTTTACTTGTACATGTTAAAGAAATAAAAAAATAATAACAAAAATAAAACTGTAATACAAAACTGTATAGCCACTAGATGTCTGCATAGCCTTTTATATAAATATACGGCCTGGAATATCTAGAAGGTTAAACAAGACACGATTTTTAATAGTTTCAAATAGTTTTTACTATAGTTTTTATTAGTTTTAATTTTAAAATCATAGTTAAATAAAAGTACCAGATATTGCTTTTTTGACTTATTTACATATGTAACTTGAAGCAATCCAAAAGTAATCCCAGCTTTGGGTCAAATATGAAACAACCCAGCATTTTTTAGTGTAAATACAAAAATAATACAAAAACATTAATGTACAGTGGTGTGAAAAAGTGTTGGCCCCCTTCCTGATTTCTTATTTTTTTGCATGTTTGTCACACTTTAATGTTTCAGATCATCAAACTAATTTAAATATTAGTCAAAGATAACACAAGTAAACACAACATGCAGTTTTTAAATGAAGGTTTTTATTATTAAGGGAAAACAAAATCCAAAACTACATGGCCCTGTGTGAAGAAGTGTTTGCCCCCCTGTTAAAACTGTTTGTAATGCTATTTATATATTAACTTGTATATTTTAGTGTTTTGCAAGATTTCTGCACATTATGTCTGCTTCATGAATTTTAGTATCAAGGCAAATTCTACCAGTAGAGGACACTGTTGTCTACATCAGCACATTTTCCCTAAATTGTGTCCTTCATCCTCTGTTCTTCCAGCCACTGAAGGAAGTTGTCCCGCGTGTAGAGAAGGGTTATAAGATGGACGCCCCAGACTGCTGCCCGGCTGTGGTGTATGACATCATGAAGGAGTGCTGGACTCTGGACCCTGTGGAGCGTCCTAGCTTCAGAGAACTGAGACAGAAACTTCAAGATATCATAGCCAATGAGCTGTACCGATAAAAGACAAAAACTAACGGAAAAACACAAGAAGATGACTTTCACGGCACCATTCCCATACAGTCTGACCAAAATCTACTCTTAAAGCAGTGGACTTGAAAGTGAAAAACATCAGCAGAAATGTATTTTGCTTTTTTTTCCGTCTTTTTCTTTGCTTTGTTTTCATGGCATGATTTTCTTAATTTTGGGGAGGCTGGCCTTCTCTACAACAACTCACCTCTTTTTGATTTTTAAGATCTTCAGCCTCCTCTGATATGTCCTCATACGCTCCATTATTTTGGACTTTTGATTAGCAAATAGGATATTCTGCCAAAAAAAGAGAAAAATCAGTTAATATCATCAGACAATAAATATCATGAGGAATGCTATACGACAAAACATCCGGCACCCATAAGGCTTGTAACCAAGAACAATAATTGGCACTTAGGGAGACCGTATGCTCAACCCAAACTGTTTTCCATTCCAGTAGCCAATGAAATACACCAGAGAATCTTTCTTCCATTTCACAGTGCCTTTACACCAGAAATCTGTCTCGCCCCAGAGCTTGTTTCATTAGATTTTTTTAATACATTGTTTAAAAGTACTCAAATTTCCTGCTGTCTTGCTCATCTTTTCAAACATGTGTCAGTCTCAGCCTCAAAACCGGAAAGGATGAATATAAACTTTGTGGGCCTTTAAAAGAGATGTGGCTTGTGTCCAAGCCAGAATGCTTTAAAAATAATAATAATAAAACCGATAAAGTATACAAAAAGGCCACAAAAACAGATCTGATAAATATTTGTGATATTATTATACATTGATTTTTGCCAAGGAATTAATTTTTTTGTTTTTTGTTTTTCCTCAGTGCTTTCAAAAAAATTTCTTTGTTGCCATATTTCAGATAAAATCACCTAAACCGTTTGATAAAAACAGATGAAGACAAAATAAATAAAAAGGCTCCCAAAAAAAGCTTTGAATGTGTCTCTGTGCCTTTAAATGTAACCCCTCGGTCTTTCAATTTAAAGGTCAGTCAAGGAAACTAAATGTACCCAGAGAGGAAAGACGTCCTCTATACAAGCTTCTGCCGGTTAAGCAGTGACCCAAACAGTCATGACACAAGACAGATTTTCACCACAAGGTTTTGACACACTTGATAATAATACCGATGCCCTGCAGATGCTCTCGGCATATGTCCCATGTTTTAAAAAATCGCATCACGTGCTCCTCCATCAGGATGTGATAGGATTGTTTTCTAGTCTATCTATAGGATGCTGTATTTCTGCTCGGTGCATGTTTCTCGTCAGCAACATGATATCAAGAAGAGGAAGATTCATGAGTATGCAGCTAGAACGAAACCTGAACCACTGAAATGCTGCATTTGTGGTTTTCAGTGAAGGTGAATCTACCTTTGGTGAACAAAAACATACCAACACAGAGAAATGTTTGCATTTCAATTTGTAATCTACAGATATTTGAATTAACTTCTTATGGTGAGCTATGTGTAGAAATTTTGCATATTAAATTAGCATTCTTCAAAGCCATTTCCTAAAAATGATATTTTAATTCTCTCACACACACACATTAATTCACGTGTGTGTGTGCGAATAAAAAAAAATGTCTATATCAAATATATAGATTTTTCCGTTTTTAATTGATCATTAATTTTATGGCATTACATTAAACTAACTTGAAGGCACAATATGTAAGATTTTTTTATTAAAATATCCAAAAACCACTAGAACAGTGTTATATGTTTTGCTGACTTATGTACTTGCATTATCCCAAATGTTTCGAAGAATGTTTAAATCCAGAGAAATAAGCAATTTTAACTAGTGACACGGAGCGTGTCCATAGTGTCATTGTGTCGCCTGCCAATGACGTCATAACCCCTCGATTTCCGGTTTGGTTTTGTAGAAAACATGGAAACACCAAAGACGCTTTAATATGTTGTGCGTTTTATTAGACCAGTGACGACCGCACAGAGTAGCATTATAACAGAACTTTTTGTCTAGTATGACAAAACAGCGCTGCTTTTTCCCCCACATACGCACGACCGGAAGGAGCGGAAGCGGTCGACTGTGGCATAATAAAAGCTCTGCTGCTTTCGAGCCGTGTGTCACGCTCGTTCAGCGGCCTCGTTTTGCTTCGACGGCTTTCAGTCTCACTCTGCTTCATTCTACTACGTTAATAAATCATTAGCTCATCCATGAACATGATTTCTGCCGAGTCCTGTCGGATTGCTTCGGCTGTGGGGATGAAGACCACAACTCCCATGATTCCACACTCAGTCATGGTGTTATCAAACTACTCCTTTGCCTCTTTGTTTATTTTGAATACGCACCCTCTAGGCGCGAAAAATTACATATTGTGCCTTTAAAGGGGTCACAGGATGCTACATGCACTTTTACAAGTTGTTTGAACTGAAATGTGTGTTGGCAGTGTGTGTACACAACCACCTATAATGATAAAAATTCACCCAGTGTTTTTTTTAAATCTAGTTAAATGTTTTCCTCTTTCTCAAATCGAGCCGATCTCAGAGGCCTGTCTGTGTGACGTCACACAGACAGGCTCCTCCCACGATAGTTTGATTGACAGTAGCGTTTCAGCACAGACTGGGCTGGTGTCTTACCTTAGACCCGCCCTGAGTGAGCTGTCATCAGTCCGCCATTGTTTCACCGCTGGAGCAAATGTAGACAAGAATGACTCCTAAGCGATTGAGGTGTTCTGTTGTTGGATGTAATAATGAACATATCAGTCGTCATTTACTCCCGACATCTGAGCCGCTGAAGACGCAGTGGATTACGTTTGTTTCTGAAGGGAATACGCCCCCGATCTACATAAATGCGTCTATGTTCGCGCGAATCTACAGAAGAAGTGAGTATAATGTTTTGTAATGAATCTTTGCAAATCGCCTTTCCTAATAATGTGCTAATTAGCAAGTTTCACCATGAATGCGGCTAAAGTAAACAGTCTCTCTGAGAGCAGCTCGGAAGAGAGGGGCGGGGTCAGCAGAGCTCATTAACATTTAAAGGATAATGCTACAAAAACGGCTTGATCTGAAAAGAACTGTTTTTGACAGGGTAAAAAAGGTGTTTTTTACACTACCATTGAGAAATTTTAACCAAACTATGTTACAGACTTTTCATTAAGACCCCAAAGAATCATATCAACTTGTGGAAAATAGGCATCCTATGACCCCTTTAAGTTGAATTTCATGTAACTTCTATAAAAAAAGTTGAAAACTTTGAGTTAATGTGAAAACATAAGTTGCCTTGGCTTACTGATCAAATCATTTTTACAGTTCATGCAAATATGCATATTTGCATGAATGCATTTGGTAGATTAATATGCTCTTCAATTAAGCTACTGGAACTCATGGCATCTTATAATAACGATGCTTAATTCGATTTTTATTTAGCATAATGTTGGTTTCATTTTCTATTTTCTTTTTATTTGAAAAGAAAAGGGAAATGCACCTGTAGTTCCTCCCCTAAAAATCCGAGGTCCCTGAAATTCTCATTCAAGCTTCAAGCACACAAGCTTCCCTGTTCAACAAGGAAAAATGAGGTAAGTCAGGGAGACGGGACTTCAGCTTCCCCCTCGGGTGTCCTGTGTGCTTTACGCCAGAACGCTTGACTGTGGATGTCACCATGCATGTGTCACGATTTGCTCTGTATCGTGGCCTATTCGGAAGACATTGCCAAGGGACAGTAAGAAGAGTTTAAAGGGGTCATATGATGCGATTTCAAGTTTTCCTTTCTCTTTGGAGTGTTACAAGCTGATTGTGCATAGATAAGATCCCTACACAAAAAAAAGCATCATATGACCCCTTTAATTCAACCACTTCGTTTAAAGGAAATGATTCTGACCTCACGTTATGAGGGAAAAAACGAAATGATAACAGCGAACATTCATAGCTTCAAACCATCCCTACCAAGCAGTCAATAGCAGCAATGATTTGCATGTTTCTTCAGTCTTTATCTCCGTGATGTGCAGTCTTCATGCGTTTGCCTGAAGAGAGCAACATAAGTGACATGCTAAGTTTGATTCTCTAAAATACCAAAGTTCCTCCAGCTGTAGGTTCGGAAGCATCCGCAGTGCTCGTCAGCCCCCATTTACATCTTTCCCATGACATTTGGGCTCAGGCCCGGATCCGGCCTTCACCCACGCCCAGCCTAAGGGAGCTGGAATGCCAGTGTGAATCCCAATCAACACTAGAAGTGGAGTCCTCGAGATGCTTACGTTTATGACAGTCTCCTCTCATGCAAAAGGCATCTCTCTGCTGTTTGCATTTTGGCAAGAAATGTGCCTTATGAAGGGTACTTGAGTACAGTGATTCAGAGTCCTGGTGAACAGAGAAGTGTCTTTGTGCCGGAACTCGGTATAGGGCACTGCTTCAGGCAGGAGACAAACCTTCTCAATGCCCTGGCATTTGTTTGAAGAATCACTGACCCTCACAGATAAGTGCTGTAGAAGGTTTGGGAAAGTGTCTTTGCTGTTTGTGTAGATGCTAAATGCAAATCAATATAGTATCTTGTTCTTCACTGGACAAATGAGGACAAATCAGATTGCAGCTGGTCATGTTTAAAACATATATGATAATGGATTCAGTGTGGCGTCTCTGAATAAACTCTCATGTTATCAGAGATTTCAATCTGAAAGCAGTTGGATTCAGCAAGATGAATGTTCACAGAAAATGTAATTGTTAAAATCCCCCCCAAATGGTTCAAAGCACTGACTCACTGGTCTCTTTGGGAATGGTCATCATATCATCCAAAGAGGACATTTAAACATGTTTTATTCATGATTTTTCCGTTTATCTAAACAATTTATAGATAACAATGAAAAATGAATATTTAGAAAAGCTTAAAGAACTTGCTTGGGACATATTGTTGGTCACAAAGCAGGATATAAATGTATAAAATGAATATATTTCATATATAATATAAAAAAATTATATAATGATGTGTAATACATTAATATTGTTATTTTATTTAGCGTGGCAATAGGTCAAAACAAATATTTGTACAGTCATTATATTTTAAATAAAAATATGAATTGAAAATTAATTGAATTGTTCTTTATATTCATATATCATTACAAATTTGAAATATAATTACATATAATTTATTATTGTCATTATTATTCATGTTCTCAGAAATGCAATTTGTAAATCAACAATTCAAAATTTAGATGACAATAAATTTACATAAGCTAAAGGAACTTACTTGGGTAAGAAAAGTCCAAATTTGTGCAGATTATTTATATTGTTGGTCCCAAAGCAGAATTATTATATTATATTATATTATATTTGTTGTACATTCGTATATTATTTCAATTAATTTTATTCATATATTAGATATTCATATATAAAATGAAAATAAAAACATACAAATATACATTTATTATTATTGTCATATATTCACCTCCACCATCCTTAAATAATTATATTTAATATATATTTAATTAATTTTAAAGCAGTCAGGCAAGGAAAATAGACTATTGTATGTGACTGATTAACCCAATGTAGCCACAATTTAGCTTAAAGTAGGCTATTAGTTAGCATATATTTATATACATTGTTTATATTAATACATATTTATTATGAAATTTCCCATAGCTGTAAGACTACACAGACTCTTATAAGCAAAGAAGTATAGATCACAGAGCCTAACACTATGTAATACATTAGCTGACACAGACTGAGGTGTTTCACTTGAGCAGTCTTGTGATTTGCTG